ATGTAATGAATCTGAATAACGGACGCTCTGCTGGTAATGAAAAAGACGAGGACGATCGGTGGCTGTAGTAAAAGCTCGCGCACGCCGCTCGCCATTAGCCAGACCTGCCTGATAAAGCACATTTTGCCAAGCTGCGTCTGAACCTTTCTCGACGTACAACACCTTTATTTTAGTAACATCGTTACCACACATGAATAGTTAATTACTCTGCAGTGAGTTGTACTTGTCCTTCGAAGAGCGTGCTGACAGTTAATGCTGTCTATTTTTTATTGTTTCAGGTTTATTCATTTCTTTCATCTCATAATAGTTACATTTCACTTCAAAACTACAAGTAACATCCTAAATGGTCTCCTTGGCTTCTTTATTTGTTGGTTTAATACATTAGTGTAAAATCAAAAGCAGGCCCCTGCATTTTCCTTTTTTTTTTGTTTAACATGAAACTGAACATGAAAGCGATGAGGAATTTCGCAAGTTTACACAGCTAGCAATGCATGCTCATTTATGGTTATGTCTGCAAATTGGCATATTAAAGCGACAACAGTACCAAATGATTATGAGGCATGCTTAAGTGGGGAACTACAGAAATAATTTTCAACATCTGAGGTTCTTAAGTGCAACTAAAGGAGCCCGACACGAATTTTAAAAATATTTCAATCGCTGCTCTAAATAATGACATTGACGTCAGGAACCATAAAAAGAGAATTGTGGTGCCTGAGAATGCATCAGGTATCTTTTTTAATACTGCTACCTTAAAAACCCTTTCACTTTCGATATTGACGGGGCAGCTTCTCAGCGACGTGCCATCACAGTGCGACATCATGAAGAGACGGCGGCAGATCTGTCATCTGCTTGTAGTGCACATAACAACGAGTGAATTTCCATTCAGCGACCTCAAAAGTGATTTCTGGCTGCATGCAGGACACATAGTTTGCAAACTCAGTAGAACTGTGTTGACTCGTCGGCATAACGTCCGTTGTGCCGGCACCGGCTTGCAGACACTCAGCCACGCAAACTTTAAAAGCAAAGTAAAGATTTCATATGGATTTCCTGACTACGGTTTGTGGAGAGGCATTAACATGCATACCGAGGAAACTAATAATATCCTTTCCATGAAGTCTCAATCATTTCAGTACTGCTATAAATCTGAGCAAATAGATGTTTTTGTATTTCGCACCCCATAAAATGCAGTTGACATGGTCAGGAATCAAACCCATGCCCTTAAGCTAAACAGCACAACCTCTCAGCTGCTAGGCTGCCATGGCAGGCCTCTAATAAACAACTGAAACCGGTTTGAAAACACGGCTTAGCTTCCACAGCTAAATTACCTTGCACAATAATAAAAAGAGTGATTGGCATTTTTTAATCATCTAAGAGGCACAGGATCAACCCTCACACCCCAATAATCCTTATACATAATGGTGAGGTTACAATTACTGAAGAAAGTTGTCAGCAAATTGTACTGTTGTAATGATATGAGCATGCATTATAAGTTCAGTGGCAATATACTAAATTGGCATAAATATAGTCAGGGGCGTAGGCAAAAATATTTTTAGGGGGGAGGGGAGCACTATCTTGATCAGAAGAGGGTCGGGCAGGCAAATTGTCATTTTGCACTATACCTATGTATGCCATGGCAAAAAAGTTTCGGGGCGGGGGGGGGGGAGGAGGAAGTGACACGAGCCCGGTATGCCACCCCCTGGCTACGCCACTATAGTAAAAAGCAATGGTGATATAAAGTACTAAAACATTCCACTCGCCTTGTTTGGCAATATCTTGTGTAGCGTGTAACTGTCATTCCGCAGAGCTACCCTGCTGTTGGGCGTTACATTAGCAATGTCGATGTTTTTGTCAATGTCTACTACAAACTTTCCTTCGGGGTGGACCTGCAAGAAAAAATACAAAAAAGATACATGTTAAGTGCTGAAATTAAAACAGCACCCTCGCTAGTTTCCAAACAATCCAAGTTGAAACAGCGAGTGCCCCCATGATAGAAACTGCACCAAACCTGGAGCACTCACACGAATAAAATTATAGCAGTTACAATTTCTTACCATACAGTAGTTGAAAATGCACTAAATTCATTAGTGTGCTGTGAATACCTCAATCTTCCCCTAGCCTACAAGTTAGTTTATAGCTGTGGGAAATCTGTAAATCCCCCTTGTATGTTAATTTTTCAGGACACAACGTGTTTCACATAAAAAGAACCAAAGATTTTTTTTGTTCAATGCAAGTGACAAAATCTAATGACATATGGTCTGAAGAAATGTGGTGCTCATTTGTGTGTTTGTATTACACCTAATCAGTTAATTAAATAAAATCTGTTACGAAGCATGTTTGATGTTAACTTCAGGGCCAAGCGTGATGCATTAGGCTGTAGAGCATATTCCAAAACAACCATTACAATGTTTTGAGGCAGCTAACATGAGTGAATTATTTTACATGTAAAATGAACACGGCAAAATATGAACTAACATATCGTAGCACTCTTAAACATGCTTCAAGTGAAACACACGTGTGCGCGAAATGTGGCAAAATGAGCAGTCTCGGCTCTAGGCATCACCTATGCACAGACATACTGGCAAAGGCAAGTTTTTGACACGTCTGCACATGTAACCAAGAGCAACAAGTGCCTTTCAGTACCATAACATTGGTTATACCCAAAACAAAAATAGTTGCAGTTGTCAGAGACCTAAATGAATAAACTACACCTGAATAATCAGTGAGTGAAGCTTGACCACACCCTATTCCTAGCACGTTGCTTACCTGGACATGTACTTTCATAAAAAAATTATACCAGAGAACAAAAAAATTTTGCCGTCTTTAACTAGCCACCGTAATAAAACTGTTTAGACCCACCTTGACGAGCACTTTCTTCTTGTCCATTGGTTTGACCACTTCACCAACGTAGGATCCTTGTTCTTGAAGCAACTGCAGCTCTTCACGAAGCATTCTCACTGCAAGTAGACAAGGACAAATGCTGACAGTGTAACACAGCAAATATAAATATGATAAGACCTTTCACACCACTGCAAGCCTTAATTTAATTTTATGCACTATAAAAAAAAAGACCGTCCCTTGCAGATAATGTCAGAAGCAGAGTATTATGAATGCTAGCTGCTTGATTACAAAGGTAACGCCAAAGAATGTCCCTTTAACAACACTGTGTGGATAAAACTAAATCATTGAATAGGATTGTATGCATGAGCCATCATACTCACGCACAAGTGCACAAACACATATTCTACCCCGACCTCACTATCAGGCTACGGGGATTGGCAAATCATGTGGGTGTTGACACGTTTTAGAGTGAAAGTGAGCTAATGTGAATGAATGTACTTAGTGTTTGCATGCACAATGAATGAAGACATAAAAAGTGTCACAACTGCCACGCAAGATTACTCGAGATAGCCACGAACCTGGCCACCCAAGGAGATGCTGCCTTCGATGCAAGTGCTTAGGCCAAAATAACGACGATATGATGTCAACCGAATACCAGAGAAACGAAAGCATAACTTGGCTCCAAATTGACGCGTTTAATTCTGCAAGTACTTTAGTAGTGCGTGGTTTGTAATGAGCGGACGAGGACGCAAGCACGAGTAAGACCGCCTGCTGGTAAGCGCGAATGAAGCGCTAAGTGAGTGCAAACGGATAGAAGTACAATAGTGACTGCGGCCAGCAATAGTGTTTACCTAGCTAGCGATAGTACTTGCTAGTATGAATAAGTATCAGCTTGTTCCGGTACTTCATGAGTGCGTTACAGCTATTAGCTTCCACAAAGCTTTGGGACGTTAAACCCCACATATCAATCACCAAATCAAGCTCCCACACAGGTGGTACTGATTAGCAGCGAGTGCGATGGTTGCAGCGATTACAGCACTTCGACGGCACTGCATTAAAACAAAAATTGTAAAAGGACAAACCTTTGGCGTTGAGTTCGTTTCTTTGAGCTTGCAATCGCCTAAGATTTTGCGTCTTGTCCGAAACCACGAGCTGAAATTCAAGAAGCAATTAGACTTCATACAAGTTACTTCACAGTCAACCGAGAAACGAAACAATCCTCACCTGGAGCTCTTCTATCTTGGTTATGTAGTACTGCTTCAGCCCGTCTCCTTTCGACACCCCATCGACCTCCATCTGAAAATATGGTGATCGTTACTAATCCAGCAACACAACCACCGAGCCAGGACGGCACGCCGGACGGGTCGGTGACACGACCGCTCATGTTATGTGCTTACCTTCTTAACAGGTTTGCGGACCTAAAGACACCGTTTAACATTAGCCAAATTATTGCACGCGACTTATGTGATGTCATTAAACACGACGTGTTTAAACAGTGAGGTCAATGCAGACTGCAGTAACAAGCGGGCAATGACTGGCACAAATTAGTAACCGAAATTGAGGTTTCCCTGCACAGCTGCTACGAACACGAATAAAAAATAAGCCACCAAGGAAGTTTCTGTGCTACGAAACAGAGAAACAAAGCGACATAAAACCCACAACCGAGAGAATAATACATACTTTTACGGGCGCCGAATCGTCTACGATAGCTGCAGCCGCCATGTTTCACTGCTGGATCATTGACTGGATACAAACAAAAAACAAAACAAAACTAGCCAAACCCAAGTTACAAAGACCAAAGCAGTAAGTTTAGACTACAACACAAACATTATTTATTAATTGACAAATAAAAGCAAGCAACTAATAAACTGTAATTGTTATTGTGACTTAAATTTATGAGCTTAAATAACATCTTATTTTGAGCCCTAAATGGCAGGCATTTCAATTTTTGAGTTAAAAAATACGAATCAAGTGTTCTTGTGTTATGTAAACACTATTAAAACATTCAAAATACGTCATACTTACTCAACAATAAACAAGCCAAAAGCGTTATCATCATCACAATTTTGTTTGTTCCATCATCATCAATAATTTTGTGCAGGTACACTAGAGGCAGCTGGTGGCAGAAAAACGTAAAAGAGCTCAAAAGCTCGCGCGACGTGCAAGAGCGGCAAATGAAGAGCAGCAAGAGCTGCGAGAGCGCGGGGAGTTTTCGAGTTGGCTGCTCGAGGATCAGTGAAAGTCTCGAGTCTGTGGAGGGGAGCTTTCTCAAGCGGAGGAGGTGATGCAGCGGTGCCTGCGCGCGACGTTTTCTGCTATCGCGATGTTACTACCGAGACAAAGTACTGCGTAATTTGTGTGTTTCAACCAGTGCTCTCGCCCCAGTCGTGCCGAGCAGTGCCGATGTTTCTGAATCGGACAGGCACAGATGATACTCTTCGGCAGGCGGTCGTCCAGAGTCGTGCTTCACAAGAAACTCGTGCCAATCGGAATATGCTTCGGAATCGTGCTCTCGTTGACGGCCGTGCCGTTCATGGGCTGTCAGCGGCGGAAGTCGCCGCCCTCCGCAAAGGACGGCTTCTCGCTCTGGCAGTCGGCGCCGGTAGACGACGAAGACTTCGAGCCAGTGTTGCGCTTGGAAGGCCGCTCCAAGACATCTCAGGCCAACAGCCCGGAGAAAGTGGCCCTCAAACGACCGCGATTCTACAGCACGGAACTGGAAATACGCGAGAAGCTACTCGTCGTTGTGCTTACGTCGCCAGAGACGGTCGAGACGTTCGGTGCCGCCGTGAACAGAACGCTGTCCAGACATCCCAACAAACTTATTTTTTATTCGTGTGCCTCGGACGGAGGAGAGTTCGGCTCCCGCTCCTCCGTCGGTCTTCCAGCTGCCCGGCACGAAGTGCGACTCTCTGGCCTCTCACGTTCTCAAGCATCTCGGTGTCAAGAACACTGCAAAAGACTTCGATTTTGTGTTTCTCATGCGAGATAGCACATACGTGAATGGTGAAAAGCTCGTAAGCATTGCTACGCACGTCAGTGTGAACGTTGAAGTCTTTTTGGGTAGGGCTGCAAACGGAGCCTGTGATCTGGACGCCGGTTTGCTGCTGAGCAATGGGGTATTTAAGAAAGTGCTTGCAAATATCGACTCTTGCTTGGCTGAGAAAGGTGAAATCTTGGATGACAACATTTCCCGGTGCATTGCGAACATTTCGGGAATACCCTGCAGCGATGTCTTTCAGGTAAGCAACTGTTTTTCAGTATTTTCCTTTACGCGCATGAGATGCTCCCATTGTGATGACAGCCTTTTACGTTGTTTGTGTCTTATAGGACCAACCTTTCTACTCATTGAACCTTGACAAGGACTTGGGCTACATACCAGATCCGGCTACTCTCACAACAAGGAAAGATTTCAGTGCAGTGGTGACTCTATACCCAGTGCTAACGTCGAAGTACTTCTATCGCCTGCACCACCACTTCAGTCTCTACAATCTGCAAAAAGTTAAGAGACAAATTGCATTCACGGAGAAACAGATAGCTGACGTCGCTATTCATCTGCCTAATGACACTATGGGAAGAGTGGAATGGCCTCTTGGTGTTGAGCCAACACTGAAACCACCCAACAGATTTGATGTAATTCGTTCAGTGTACTTTAATGACACCCATTTGTTCTGGAAATCCGACTATGAAGTCACAAGCCTTATTAGTGGAGCCGAAAAGCTTAGTATAGAAGACTTGAAACTTCTGCGAAAGGAATTTCTCCAGCGCTCCTTTCCCAAGAATAACCTAACAATAGTTTCTACCATTGATGGCTATAGAAAGTTTGATCCAACGCGAGGCCTTAGCTATGTGATGCATCTTCTGCTTCGCAATGAAACAGCAAGTGCCGAGACCTGCAGAACCCTGGAATTCTTGCGGCCCCTTGGAAAGTCTGAAGTTATCAGCATGCCTTACGTTACAGAGCATACGAGGATAATAATGGTGCTCTTTGTCAAGGAAAAAGAACTGGACCATGTTGCTGTTTTCATTGAAGAGTATGCCAAGACATGTTTAGAGAAGAATGATAATACTATGCTTTTACTTGCATTCTTGCAACCAGCCGGTGTGCCTGATGTGTTTGGAAACATCCGGAGCTTTGCCGTGTCCAGTTCAAACCGGTTTCGAAAGAGTAATGCTAAGCTTGCAACGATCAGTATTAAAATACCAGAGGATCGGCGGGTTCCCTCAGACTTTGCTCTGATCGACCTTGTTGTGCGAAAGCTGCCACAGGATTCACTTATCCTCCTCTGCCAAACGGGGATGGAGATAAGGACGGACTACTTGAACAGGGTCCGCATGAACACGGTGTCTGGTGTTCAGGTGTTCTTGCCTATTCCATTTACTCAGTATCACCCCATCATCACAGAGCAGGATCCCGTCGCTCCAGCATTCCTTGAACTCAAGAGGGAAAATGGCTTCTTTGACAGCAATAATTTCAAGCATTTCAGCTTCTACGTTTCAGACTACTGGCGTCACCGTGCGCTTATTGCCAAAGAAGTGCCTTTAGCACACAGCAGTACAGATCTGACAGCGGACCATTACCACGACCTTACCTTTGGCATTGTGGAACTTTTTCTAGTTTCAAAGCAGCTTCATCTGCTAAGGGCTGTTGAGCCTGAGCTGCGAGTGCGTTACATCTGGAGAGAATGCGGTGACGAGCCCAACCTAAGGGCAGCTGAGAACTGTAAGTTATCTAGACTTTTCTCTGTGGGCAATAGAGGGCAGCAAGCCAAATTTCTCGCCTCTCAAACTACCACACCTGCTGCAGCGGATCTTTCTCCTGGCTCCTGACACCCAGCCAGCTTCAGATGGGGAATAGCCCTTTCAGCATGATCGGCGTCCACTGGCATTCCTGGAAGATCGTTCGACAAGTGGGCGTGTGTATGAAGTGTCTGGACAGCTTCTAGACGTTCATGAACTGCTGTCTTGTTTTTACAGTGGGTGCATGGCATAATTATTTTCAGTGTTCTTTTATTTTATTTTATTAATTATTTTTTATCTGTTACGTGTACAGTTTTCTTTTTGTGGTCACAAGGAATATCTACCATTAATTAAGGCTGCCAGTTTTACACTCGATTTCAACAAGCTTCAAAGGCAGGACTTCTGCATTTTAACTGTTTTTATCATATTGCAATGTGCATCAGGACTTGGCCTTTTTTGTTTATAGGTTGCTTGTCTATTTTTATTATGTTCCCATACAACTATGTTCTAGGCTGTTAAATTTAGTGCCGCTCAATCGAGTGTGCTTGTGGAACTGTTTCTAGTGGTCGCTGTGCCTTTTTATGCTCCGTGTCAACACCTTTCTTGTTGTTGTGATGATGTGTGTAGCATCACCATTTCTTAAGTCATCACTGTTAATAAACATGCTGCATACTTCTTTCCCTCGTTGTCCTTATATCGATATTTTCTCCTCCACTCCAGGAAATATGTGCTGAGGTTTCCTGTTAATGTTTGCCAGTGTGTCCCGTAGTTTAGCCTACACTTTGGTGCTGCTGGTTTAGCCAAGCAACGGAATCAAGCAAAATGAAACCGGCGTAAACATTTCTCCAAATTTGCAGCCTGACTGTCCGCATCCCTTCCAACTCGATTTTAGAAGGGCGTGCGTTGGCCACTGGTCTTCGGGATCTGCTTGAGAGCGCTTGCAAAGAATTTGCAGCCTCGTCAAACGACGGCTTCTCGTTCGGCTCGCGCTCCCTTTCACGAGTGGCACCCCACTGCGCCTCAGATTGAAATGGCCCTGGCATTCTGCTTCACGTGCTGCTCGGTCTTTTACCCGTGCCCTGGATGCCGCGCGTTACCCGACTTTCCGATGCGACAAGCTCGGCGAGTCGCTCGGAAGCGCGACCGACTTGTGGGCGGCGAAACCTCGCTCGAGCTTTCCCAATCATCGAGTTGCTTGTTAACGCTCGCTGCGCGCTTTCCTTGCGCGTAACGTGCTAGGGAAGACATTGGAATGCGATTCATGGCTAACCAATTGGACCATTTACTCAGTGTCCAAAGCTCTTGTATTCTACCGAGCACAGCAGCAGCAGCAGCAGCCTTCCATTGACGGCAGGACAGGCTAATAAAGCATATCTTTAAACTGCGAAGATTTATTCTATAGATAAGTGAATGGGCGCTGAAGCGTACGGTCATATGTAAACGCAAACAGCGGCCGACAGTTAAGGAGTGAACGAGGGGAAGGGGGGGGGGGGGCTCCATTGCACCGCCACCCCACCCACTAGCGGCCCTCGTTATTACTGGCCTACCTAATTTTGTTCAAAGACATGTGGTGTGCTGCTGGACAAAATCTTACGCAACTAAATTTAGACACTTGCTAATTTTGATCGCAACAGTAACAGGCGTATAAGCACTTTCTCTCTCCTGGGATCAAGTAAACGAGAAATATAGCCTCTGAGTGCATGCATTGCGAAGCATAAAACCAGTACTGTACCGCCGAGCTCATGCTATGGGCGTGAAAATATATTTGGTGAAAAGCATCTACCGTGCATGTATTTAAAAAAGGAAAGCATTTGCTTCTATATACGTTCGTATATATTGTATACATGCACTTACCATTATATCCAAGGCACGTGTGGCTGCACTTGGGAGTGCTGCGTCACTCTTGTTGCTATATGTGTCTCACTGTTCTCAGTGAGAACCTCTACAAACTTCTTCGGTGTTTCTGTTGCGTCCACTAAAGCGTCTGCATAGCACAGAACACCGTAGCAGCTGGAAACTTCGTTCCACTTCATAACGATCCCTGTTGGCGTCTCGCCCCTATAAAGTAAATAAACTACACCGTCTCGCGCCCTGTGCAAAAAAAAAAAAAAAAAAGCTGCAGGCGCCTTCGGCCAGTACTTCTAGGACGGGTTTGCAACATTTAGCTCTTGTTTAGGTAGAAGTCACCGCGCGTTGCATTCTATATGTACGACATTGCAGAGCACTGTTCTTTTATATATATATAATGCGAAGCATTTTTTAGCGAACATAGGCGACTTTGAGCGTATCTGTTTATTTATCTTTCTAGCCACTTACGTTTGGGTGCTCTCGTGGTCACCCCCTCAACTTGGCGTGAACCAAATTACCACGAAAGGGTGAGATGGTTTGACGAATATGACGTGCTGGTCAAGACATGAATAATGTCGCAATCCCGTCGCGTACGTCGTCAAACACTTATCGCCAGACAGTGGCACATACCCACGGGCGGCTATGTGCCACAGGTTATTGACGCTTAGTATCTACCCAGGAACGACGAGAACACACATGCGCAATTTTAACGCGTGAGCGTTAAGCAATACCCGCCCTCGGTAGCGCCGACCCAACGAAGGCATATAATAAATGTCAGTGTTAAAAAAAACCTGACATAGGCAGCGTTGACCCCCGGACGAGTGCAAATAACAAATTTCAGGGTCTTAACAGGAATAGAACCCAAGCGATCTGCGTGGCAGTCGAGCATTCTACCACAGTGCTACGCAAGGTGTCGGAACTACCTTTCAAATAGACGCTAATCTTTATGAAACGTCAATAATAGTTGCAGTGCAGCCTACCGAATTTTATCAACATGTCACGTCGGGTTAACGTCCTTAGTGGTTAGGTCCCATGCGCTGATGTTGATTGATGTAGCAGTGTCCAGGGCCAGCATCTTCATGAGCAACAGCGCTTCGTATCAGCTTCAGGTGTTGCTAATACGCATGCTCCAGTTGACATCGTTGCACAAGTGCGAACAACTGGTAGTATAAACATCTGCAACTCTTCGGCTTAAGTCTGTGCGTGCAACGTTTGTACATATATTTAGCGTAATTTCATGACGTGTCGTTCAACAAAAAAAAATGCAACACGGTCACCTTTCCTCCGCATGCTTCGCCTAACATCGATCCCCAGGTACGTGGGATCTGCCTTTTTTTTTTTTTTTTCGCAACCGTGCGAGTGCATTGTAGACGCGAAAGCGCGGTTTTAGCGTTTGTCTATTAGCAAAACGCCTGTGTAATTACCATTGAGAAGCAATATACAAGCTGTATTCACCGCGATCGTTCCATGGCTTTTTATTTTCTATTTTTCTTTCTTTTTCTCTCTCTCTCTTTTCGTGCTAGCTAGTTCTCTGCTCTCCTAGGAGGACCTGTATTACGCGCGGCGTTCCGATGATCCCCACAAAGACGTGATAGGAGCGAACAACTCAAAAGAAAACGCAGGAAAGAGAGTGCCTCTAATATCTTGCTTGCGAGAGAAGCGAAGGCGTCGTCTGGTTCCTTGAAAACTAGCAGACGACGCGATCCGTCCATCGTCTGCGACCGACCGGGCACTTCCTTCACGGGTCTGGCGATGGCCTGCCGCTGCAAAAGGGTGCGGCAGCTTTGATCCCCGGCTTCTTTTCTACGGCCTTCGTCAGTTGGGAAGCATTCCGCGCCCTATTGCGTTTTTTGCTTCACGTCTCACAACAGCGTCATCTTTCTTTTCTTCGCTTGGGTTTTCTTTGGAACATGAAATGAAGCGTCGGCGGTGCTTTTCAGGAAGAGGGCCGATCCCTCCCTCCGCTGCGCCAGCCAAGCCACGTGTTATCGTTCTCACCGCGAGTTGCCCATGTTGGCTCGCGTGATGCTCCGCAGGAATCTTCGAGGGCCACCGCGCAAAATGCTGCTCCTGCCGGCTGGCCGGCAGAAATAGATCTGCATAGGCCGCTGCAGCCTGCACGTCCTGCGCGAGGTAGGCCGACACCCCCGGAAAACTGGTAGGCCAGCCCGGGAACCCTTTGTAGGCTGCGCCTTTTACTCGCGGTTGAAACGCACTATAAACTTGAGCTTTTATGCAGTTTTCATTACCGCCAGGTGTGAAGCGCGCGCCGTCCTCTCCAAAATGACAGTTTTATTTATTGGTCCATATGTCGGTGCGTGTGTGTGTGTGTTCCTTTTCTCGAAGAAAAGGAAACCACAGCTTTAAATGTTAACTTACATCTTGTCTTGTCTCTTCAGGCCTTTCTAGAGCGACAACCTGCAGCCTCACATTGAGAAGGCCTTCCCTCTGTTGAATATGTCTAAAGCGTAACCTTCCAGCACTTGTTTATCCACTTCTCTTACTTATTTTTAACTCTCTCCCTCTCTTTCAACCCCCCATTCCCCAACTCCAGTGTAGGGTAGCATACCGGATACTAGCATATGGTTAACCTCCCTGCCTTCCTTTTTTTTCTCGTTTCTCTCTCTTTTCCTGTCGGCATTCAGCGATCGCTGCAACGAAGAAAGAGCGACGCTCCTTGCTCGCAGCCCGAACCTCGATTTGACCACGATTATTGCGAAGGCAAAAAACAAAGCTTTCATCCGTTCGTGCGCTCGGCATATATTAACCATATGATATTCTCTGGACAGTGATGTTGCAATGTTAATCCCGTTTTCAGCGAAGAAATGGCGTAGAGATAGTTTTGGTGTTGTGATTAGAAACCATGCCTAATCCCCCTTCGAGTCTGTGAAGGCACCCAACAGATACATTGTGATGTATGAGGTAGGTTGTGGTATATGTGTCCAGCCCTTAACATGCATACCTCTGCGTTCCTGGGATCGTTAATAGAAACCCATTGCAGCTGGTCCTGAAGCGGATGCGTGTGCTTCTCCTAAACTAATCTTCATTTGTGCTTATAGACTAATTTACACGGAAAGACTCAGCTTCTCCTCTCAGCTATACTACATATTGATTGATCCATTGGTAGCTATCTCTTTGCAGTTTTGATTATCTTGGCTAGGCTGTATGCGCGGTACACAAGCTACTGTGCGTGCTATTGTAGAACTTGTCCTATCTTTTCTTCTCTCCTTATTTATTCCTTTTCCCTCATTTCTTCCTTCTCTTGATTCATGTGTGGTGCGTCACAAAACCACCATATGATTATGAGAGACGCCGTAGTGGAGGGCTGGGGATCTTTAACGTGCACCCAAATCTGAGCACGCGGGGCCTACAGCATTTTCGCCTTCATTGAAAATGCAGCCGCCGCAGCCGGGATTCAATCCCGCGACCTGCGGGTCAGCAGCCGAGTACATTAGCCACTAGACCACCGCGGCGGGACCCTCTCTCCCCTGTGTAGGGTAGCAAACCAGCCAACCTTCCTGCCTTTCCTTTGCCCTTTCTCTTTTTAGCTAGGCTATACTAAAGTATATCAGCATTATACTACGTCGACAGCGGCAGAGCTTGCGGCTCATCGCGGGGTAATCACGCGTTCGAGCACTAACTGCTCGGCCGTTTTCTTGCATTTGAAGATCACATTACGTACTCCGCAGTTATCCATCCATCGTTGTTAACACGAGCAGTTTTAATGCGCGAAATAAATAACGCAGACTGAAAAAACCTGCGACAGCGGAAGCTGCGTGGAATTAAACTTCATTCAATCACTCCGTAAGTACACCACACACACAATGCAATT